GAGGCAACCTGCACAACCCCCTCCGCCAGCCGCAGGTTTTGCCGGCTGCTTTCAACAGAGGACACCAGGGAGCCCGAGCCCAGGAGCTCCTTGCTCCGACCGCAGCGGGAAACTCTCTTCCCGGAGAGCCTGGAGCCCCAACAGTCGGCAGGGAGACCCGGGATCGCTGCTCAGCTGCTCTGGCCGTGCTCCCTGCGCCGGTTTTTCCCGCTCAGGCTAAGCGGGAACGCTCGGCTGGAAGAAGCCTGGTGGAAACGGCGGAGCGGTTCCCTGCGGCGCTGGGTTCTTACCTCCTTCCTCCACTTGAGCTCGCAGAAGACCCGCTCGAAGCACTCGTGCATGTAGTTGAACTGCAAAGAGAGAGCGGCCGCCTCAGAGCGCCATCCCGGGCCACCGGCTCCGCTTCCAGCCGGAGGGAAAGCCGCTGCCTGCCGGAGCCGGGCCAGCTTCCCGCTCCGCTGGCTCCTCCTGGCGGCCACGTCCTCCCCGGCTCGGAACGGGAGCACTGGACACTCGCTCCCAGGTTTTCCAAGGAAAATCAGCAGGTCAGGGCCTCTAATTAGCGAGGACGCAGACAAGGGGGGCACTTACATACGGGGTGAAGATTTTAACCCATCGGGGTTTCTTCTCTCCTCGCGCGTACTCGAAGCAGAAGGCCATCCCCTCCTCGTCCGTGTCCCACCGCTGCATCTCGTCCCATTCGAACGCTATGACCTGGTTCTGCAGCAGGAGCAAAGCCCGGATCAGGGCCCGGGGCCGGCAGCCTCCGCGGGAGGCCGCGCTCGGGCCGCGGTCCCCGGCGTGGGGACGTCCCCGCGCCGCGTCCCTCACCTCCAGCTGGCCCTCCTCGGTGCACGCGTGGAGCTTAAAGTGCTTGATGCTGATGGCGGTGACGACGTGGCCCTTCCGCCGCGAGTCGCACGAGCAGTGCGGGAAGGTGATCTCGTTGTAGCCCTCGCACGTCCGCAGCATGTTCAGGTACTGCCAGGAGAGCCCGCGACACCGTTGGGGCCGCAGGGAAGGACCCCCGCGCCCGCCTGTTGCAACACCCGCACGCTCCGAACCCCCTCACTGCATCCAGGTTCAGGAAGGCCGGATCCCCTTCAGCGAGTCTGATTTATTTACCGATTTATTTATTTTTTGAGCTGGCCCCAGGGTCTCTCGAGGGTGCCTGCGGCCAGGTAGAGCTTTTAGGAGCCCCCAGGTAGCCTGAGCATTCCCAAGGGTCGCATTCCCAAGGGTCGGGAACAATCCCGAGCAGCATCCAGGGCCCTGGGGCCTCGGCGGGGAGAGGAAACTGGTCACAGGGTGGAATAAGGACAGGGCAGCCTGGGCTGCCCAGCAGCTTGAAACCTTCTGCCGTCACTAGTTGAAAATTAGATTTAAAAAAAGGGGAAAAAAAAGGGTGCTGTGGAATCAGGCTTTCTCACAGCCCTGGGATGCCAACGCTCTATCCAGCAGAAAGGTTTAGGAAGTACCTGGACTATTTCTTGCTTTTAAAACGCAAGGGAAAAGGCTCCCGAGCAGCGCCGGGAGCCGGAGCGGGCACCGCGGCACAACCGGCTCCGGCCTTCGAGCTGATTTTTCACCATTTCCACAGCCCTGAGATGCTGCTGGGCTGCAGGGAGGTGCTGCCAAGGCCTTCCCGGTGACTCAAACCCTCCTGCTCATCCAGCTCGGAACCGCAGGGTCACAGGTTATCCGTAGGAGGAAGGCTCTATTTACTCATCCCTGCCATCAGTTAATTATTAAGGGTTTATTAGAGCCCAGCTCCTCGGCTCAGCAGTTCGGGTGGCCCCTCTGGGTGCACCCCGGGGCGCAGAGGGGGTCGCGAGCCCCGTCCTTGGGGAAGGGGCGGCCGGTCTCGCGGGGACGGGCAGGGTCCCCTCCATGTCGCTGCTGCGGCAGCCCCTGCCCCGCGTCCGGACCGGGGTCAGCCCGAATCCCCAGGATGGGCAACGCGGGAAGAGGATCCCCGGAGCAGACTGGAGCCCAGGGCTCCTGCAGAACTTCCAATTTGGAAAGATTTCTGCTGGACAGACAAGGAACTAAGGCACTGAGAGGGGATCCGCTCGATTTATGGTCCGAGCTGATCCCAGCCCTTCCCTGAGCTTGTCCAGCACTATCCAAGGGACAACCTGAGGCACAGGGAGACTTTTACCTCTCAAATCCTGGAAAGAAAGCCTCCCTGTCCCCAAAGGGCAGCAGGGGGAGGATCGCTCCATCCCATTTCCAGCACCTCACCTTTCCACGCTGCCAAGAGCACACAGATTTTAATCGCCGCCTTGTCTGGAGCCAAGTCAAGGTGGGATCTTGCCAAGGAAATGCCCCCACCTCTCCCTGCACAAACTCGCTGGGGGCAAGGAGGCTTTTTGGGGCACTCGTGGCAGAGCCTTGGGCACAGCTTCCCGCAGTTCCTGGTGGCTGCACAGCCGCCAATCCCGCCCACGCTAAGCCCACACCCCCCAGCTCTCCGGCTTTCCAAGGAAAGCCGTGTTTGCTGGAATGGCATGCACTGAATTTCCAGGCACGGCGCTGGAATCTGCCTGCCCGAGGAAGCAAATGGCACAGGGAAGATGAACTCACCATGACCATCTTCCTCTGCTCACACAGCTTCTGTAGCTGGTAGGACTTCTCCTCGGCTTTGATGTAGCCCTTCTTGACATCATCAACAGCCTAAATAGGGGAAAAAATGGAAATGTGATGATGTGAGGACAACGGGACCTCTTCACCGTGTCATAACAGCCCTCCTCGGCCTTTGGGGTGGGCCCGGGAGCCCAGCGCTTGGCTCAGCTCCAGCAAAGCTTCGGAGCTGCGGAGCATCCCAACCCCGGCTTGGTGGAAGAAGTAGGCGACCGCCAGGTCGTTGTCGTTGAGGAGAACTTCTTCCTCCGTTGTGAAGAGCCACTTGCGGATGGTGAGGCAGGTCCCTGGCACGGCCGACGTGTAGTTCTGCACGTAGAGCTTGTGGGGGAACTCGTTGGGCGCCAGCTTGCGCACTGCAAGGAGCGCAGGGCACGGTGAGCGCGCCGGGAGCGGCCGAGCCGGCCCACAGAGGGCACAGGGCTGCGGCCAAGCGGGTTTGAAGATCTCCAGAGAAGGAGACTCCACAACCTCTCTGGGCAGCCTGTTCCAGGGCTCTGGCACCCTCACTGGGAAGGGATTTTTCCTGAAGTTCCTATGGAACTTTTGAAACTTTTGGGGATGAAGACCTCAACTCTGCCTCTGAGGCTCCTCCCTCCCCATCCCTGATCAAATCCCACCGTTTTCTCAGTATCTGCTTTCGCAGCCTAGGATGCTGGCCCCTTGCA